ATTTTGTTCCAGATTCATTGGAGTTGTTGTTTGATGTATAATTCCTTTTCTCTCATTTATTCTATGAATTCTTTGGAGCAATATTCACCACCATTATTGGTACGAAGTATCTTGACTTTATTCCAAGTCTCATTGGTTGTTAAGTTTAAAAATTTTTCGAATTTTTCTAGCACTTCACTTTTTTGCCTAAGGAAGTAAACGTGGGTATACAGTCTTCGTCATAAGGAAATCACCATGCGTGTGGCAAACCACACGCATTATTTCTTTCATGCGTGCGATTCACACTCTTAAAAATCAGGCTATTTCGGTCCCAGTTTACACAGTCCTGTTCAAAAACTGAACCGAGACGGTACAAAATTCGTTTTCTTTCGTAACAGGGTCAGAACCATTCCGGATGGCAGAGCACAATTAGCTCGGTTCCAGAGTGCTAGCGCAAACGAAAGGGCGAGGCGCGACCGTTTTGTCACGGTGCCAAACTTGTACGCAGGGCCGCCGCCTAAAGAATTGGAGGTCCTGGGGCTAAAGCGTAGAATTAGTGCCCTTTCGTTTCGTTGGGGCTAAAGCGTAGAAATTTTTTGCGACCACGCCCTTTAAGCTTGCTTAAATTCGTTTATTCGCTACAAATGTTTTACTGTTTATGGGCTTTAATTTGTTACTTTTAATCAATTTTATTTCAAAACAGAATTCATTACTTTGTAAGGCCCCCTTCACCTCGAGGCCCTGGGGCAATTTGCAGAGAGCTTGAGTGTTTCTGCTGTGTTCTTTCCAAAAACATTTGACATTACAGGACAACTATAGGGAAATATTGATTGATACAGTGGCGTAGATAAAGGGGGGGGCAAGGGGCTGGGCGACTTACGTGAAGTTATGTACAAAATTTTGAAAAAATAAAAGCTCTTATAACATTTTGGTCGGAAAATCTAAATTTCTCGCCCCTTTTATGAATTCTCCTATCCACATCACTAGATTGGTATTAACCTTGATTGTCGGAAGATCTTCTTTTAGCGGGTCTATTCGTCGCCTGCCTCTCGCATCTATGATAAAAAAGCAAATTTTCTTTTGAGCAATTTCATCGATATTTACTCCGATAATGGCGAAAACGGGAAGGTAAAAGTTTTGGACAATCCCTGACGACCGCCATGTTTCCGGGAGAATTAGAACAAAGCAAAGCGATAAGCCACGATACCAAGCGAAATAGTCACTATTTAAAGAGTAAGCCGATGTTGCTCAGCTTATGGAAGACAAAACTTCCAATGTTTCGTTGAAGAAAACAATTTTATTCAGGTCAAAAACGACGGTCAAATATACAACTCGTGCGTGCGAACAATCGCTCGCATTATTGGTGCCATGCTTGTGCCGATGCGTGCGCATGCGATCGCACGCATTAAACGACAAAGACTGGTATACCGAGATGCATTCGATAAATGTTACGAAGTACTTTGACTTTCCAATCGATTCCACGTTAATTGGTCTGCAAACCTCACTATGTATTGTTGACAATACCTCAGCTGCTTGAGTTGATGATGCTTTCGGAAATGCATTGTGATGCTTTCAAAGAACTATGTCTAAAGACAACAAAGAAGCGAATCTTTTTTATGTCGCTCTAGTGGCCTCAAAATCCTGCCCTACCAGTGAACAGATTGCACCTGGTGTTTTCTAAATAATTGCGTGTGGAACCTATGTGCCAAATTACAGCTTTTTAGTATTTTTGTCCAGGTAAAATCATAATTCAACCACACTATATTATCGATTTCATCAAATAGAGACATCTTCAAGATTTCATCAAAGGCTTTCCGATATCTTTCAACGCTTTGATTTAAAGGAAGCAGTTTTGTTAAGAGCATCTTCTTTCAAGTTTTGTGAATTTTAGAATTTTGCTTTCGCTTCATTGGCAAAAGTTGCAAGAATTTCGACATTGCATTGGTTTTTTTATTTCAAAGTTATGAAAAATAGCCATCTTAAAGTTTCTATTCCTGATTACTTTTTTTGAAATGTCTTATTAAACATAGCATCTTATATTTATAGTTTATCCAGCTTTTTAGCTTTAAGTTTATCCAGCATGTAAGATTTGATTATTTTAATATGAAAATGCTTTCTCTCAAAAAATTGAAGAAATAGAGGCTTGTTTTTGTCGTCAAAAATTGTCGAAAATTTTTGTTTTTGATGAATTCTTTTGAAGGTGTAACTTGAAATTTTCCTCAAATTTGTCAGAAATCGATAGATACCAGATTCAAAAGCTTGAATACTTTAGTGTCCTTTCTTCAGCCTACTATGCACAAATGAGTTTTACAGGTCGTAACATAATACTGTGAAAAAGCGATACAATTATTGGAAGTGATCTCTTCCACCAAGAGATGATAGAGGAAAAAAGACAAACAGCTAATTTAAGTCAAATGGCGCCTTTAGAGTAAGGACCTTCTGTTATTTTGATAATAAAGAAATTTTAAAGGTAGAAATTTTCAACTGTGTCGGTAGAAAGGTGTAAATCATACCGTGTTTAATAACATTTAAAACAATATTTTTATGGTCAAACGAACCATCCTTCAAAATTGATACTTTTCTAGTTCCAAATTTAATAAACAGAAATTTCTCAGTCATCATAAAAATAAAGCTGAAAGCAGTTTGCTTTTTTTGTCTTAGCAAAGTATTTCATCTTTTTTATCAAATTTGTAATCCAATCTTTTATCAACTGCTATGCAGTTTGTTACAGAATCTTTTTAATGTAGTTCTTCATAATTCTGCTTAATTTTTTTGTCAGAAAAACAAGACAGTCATATGAACAGGATAATTATAATTTAATTCAAACTCTGTTTAGAAAGAAATCCATTTTCTACCACAAACTATCATTAGCAAGCCTTTTCAGATTGTATATATTTTTGATGACTTCTTTCTAGTTTGAGCAGCCATTTAGGTCTTCTTTTGCAACCTAATAAATATTGTTGGCAGACCGTTTGGTGAAAATATTTTCACAAGTGAAAAACTGCCCGCATGAATGAGCTTACGAGGGCTATTGCCCATCTAACAATTACTTGGTAAAGAATCTTTCAAGGCCTAAGGGGTGTATTAGGGTATCATCTTCCCACGACAGCCTTACATTTTATCTTCTAAATGTGTGGCGATTGCCAATTCTAATAACGCTTTGTTTTCATAAGCAGCTGGAACTTTTAGTCAGGGATATTTAGACTTATTTAGAAACTTTACCATAAGTGCTCTTCCTGTCTGTAAATGCTCTTGATTACTTTTTTCCCTTTGTATGATGCATAGCATGTATCTTTGATGATTGTTCCTTTAAAGCTTGTTTAAGCTCCCTATATTTTTTAACGTTTTTCAGTTTGGCAATCCAATTTGTTTATCTGGCATGTTGCTGTTGTAATGTTGGCCTTTTGGGTTGATAAATCTAGGGATTAAGGAATGACGTGAATAGCTACCACTTTACATAAAAAGCTATCATTAGAATATAATTTTTCTGCCATTTTGTCCTACATTCATCTGCATCAGTATCTTTGACCATCTACTTTTCGATGTCTTGTTGCTTGAAAATTTTTAGTGTAATCTTGCGCTATTGCACAAATATTTTGCGAGTAAGTGCATTAATTTTTAATGCTAAGTGATAAATTTAAACCAGGCGCCAAGTCATCTGACACTCTTTTTTTTCTTTTTTTCAGTGGAACCTAAAGACAGATAAGACCGGGTTCGTTGCTTGTAAAACAAGTAATAGTGTCGTAGATGGTAATGTTATAACACCATTTATCACTACAAATCCAGCGAAGGAGATAACCCTCAGAGTTACTTATACTTTGAATTGCTGTGTAGCCAAATTGTCTATTGGTGTCTATGTCCTTTTGGGCTCTGGTGAAATATCTGCGCCTGGTGCTCAAAGCTTCAAGTACATTTCTGCTTTAAAGAATACCTCATCAATGAATCCGTCATCTAGAGTACAGTTCACATCAGCTATTGCCATTGGAATGGAAGGAAGGACTGGACTTTTTATTGCTTTCAGAGATCAAGGAATTTGCGGAAGCCTTGATTCATTTCAACTCAGTTACATAGAATGTCCAAGCTCAGCAGGGGAATTAATGTCATTCCCACTTAGAGCTGCAGCTCCAAATAGCACAGTTTCAGTCCTAAAGGTGCTTGGAACATGTGTTTTCAATGCTGGTGTTCAAATTTCGCAAGCAGCCAATTACATGTTTTGTTATACAAATGGTTCCACCAAGGTGAATGGTGGCTGTCATTGCAAAGCTGGATATGAAAATCATTTTTTTACTAGCTGTAATGGTGAGTCTATTTAATAAATGAACATTCATACTTAAAGATAAAACAATTTTTCATTCATTCCATGCACACAAAGATGAGAAATAATATTATTTCATGAACACTATGATTAAAAATTGTTTTAGCTTTTCTGTTGATATAGGACCTTCTAAATAATTTGTATACCAGAAGTTTCCAGTTCAATAGAGATCATAATTGCAAATTATTTAAGCAAATTAAATACCCAGAATGTGTTATTTTTAGTTTGTTTATTTTGTCATTTGTTTAACTACTGTTTTTGTTATGAAAATTTAAATTAACTCTTTACCTCTTTTTGATGTAAGTTAGCCTATTGATTTAGTTATAATGAATAAGCTTTAAACTTTGCAAGCTTTTAAACTAGCTTCTAAGGATCTTAGAAAGAATGAGCAATTATGACAATTGCAACTGCAATATCTATGAATAAGTTACAGTGGCGGCTTGCAGCAGTACTAGTGGTGCCAGTCTAGTACCATTTTATTTTGAAAGCTTGAAATATTTTAGTATTGTATGATTTTGTTTTTCTATGATAATTGAATCAATGCCAAAAAAGGGAAGAGCAGCGGAAAGAATACGCCATATCGTAATTCTGACTCTCCTTATCTTAATTCTCATTGTAAGATTGGCATTGAATAAGCCCTTTATGTATACTACCATACAAGACCTCATTCATCCAGTACTGCAGAAGTCTGTCCAATTATCATTTGTGACTCAATGTGACGTAAAACCGTTTTTTTTACAATCCAACAATAAAAAAGTCGTTTGCAGTACTAAATTCCGCTTTCTATTGATGAAATTCTGTGAGGCCATTTAACCTCTGCAGCTGGCAATATCACATGACCTAAAAAAAATGAGGTATTGTATGAAAACTTCTGACCTGCCATTAAAAGACAATTTGGCCATACTAGCTTTAAAAACAAACATTTTCCAGGGACCACGCCCCTGTGCCACCCTTCCTCTAGCTGTTTCGCTCTGCTAAAAACTTTTTTGCTTTACTAGTACCATCTTTGTTTTGCTTTTACAGAATGTCCAGCAAAGAGTTTTAAAAGTGCTGCTGGTAACTTTAATTGCACCAGATGTGGTGCTAATGTCGAGGACGGACTGAAGCCCAGGACAACACCTTGTAAATGCAACAATGGATATTACAGGCCACTTCGATCTAAAAGTGTTCCAACTGTCGACTGTGAAGGTGAGCTTAGTTCAAAAAGATTATTGATTTCTTGTAAAACGGCTTGAATAGACTTGCATAACCTATAAATGTGAAACAGTGAAACAAGTGGCTAGAAGGTCATTTAAGTCACTTGTTTCACTCAAGATTCATCTCAAACTTTCACCATCATGTCATACCATTGTAAATATTTTCTACACACAAACGTTGATATTTTCAATTAGTAGCTCTGTAAAAGCTCTGCATACTGGAGCGAAATATCAGCTATATTTCATTCGCACAAAAGAGCTTTTAAGCTTTCCATTATAATTTTTCCCTCTTTGACTATGTTAAACAAATTTTCGGTCCTAATTAAATCCTTTTTTCCATAAACGTGAACCATGGAAAATTTTTCATTCTATATCATTGCTTTCTAATGTGCACAATTCTCTTTTCATTTTAATATTACAGATCTTCTATCTTTTTACCCTCTACTGAATTTTTACTCAGCTATCCAGCTAGGTGCTAAATACTCAATGAACACTCGGTGCTAAATACTCAATGAACACTCGGTGTTCGGTAATCTTTTTGTATCATTTTAACTTCCATTTTTGATTCTCAATTTTTTCTTATCATTTTTAATCTCAATACTCTGAAATCAATATGGTTTTCAACAGCGCCACCATCTGCTCCAAATGTCGTTAGGGCAAAACAGATTGGGTCAAAGTGGATCTTATTAGAATGGACGGTTCCCATGGACCAGGGGACTGGAGGCAAACTGAGTTACACGATAAAAGCAAGCTGTACTAAATGTAAAATTCCACCTGACTTTACAACATCTAACCTTCTTTTCAATGTCACCGGGCTGAGCGCCTACACACGATATGACGTCAGAGTTTATTCCATCAACAATATAACTGCTGCCATCGGCTTCGACAAGGCTATGTACAACAGCACTTCAGTTTTGACTGGATCTGGATGTGAGTGAACGTTTGGCTTAAGTTACTCTGTTTGATTAATTATGTTTTAAGGTACAGCCGGTGATTGAACACATCCCCTTTTTCTTTTTTGCAAGACTCTGTACCAACTTATCGCATATAAATTTTTTAATCTAGATAAATTTGAAAAAAATGTTTAATGGTAGCAATGTCCGTGAATTTATATCAGAAGCCTAAATAAGCGAGTTGAGCTTTTCAACAAATCTTTTTTTGAGTTGATTTACATTCGTTTACTTCTGGTAAATATTCTAAAAGATATTTTGTTTGTTTATGTAGCACATCTCATTTTCAGTGCCTTCGGAGGTTCAGAATCTTACTAAAAGGACAAACTCTGATGCATCAGTGACAATTTTCTGGAACGAGCCATTGACCAAGGGTGGTGATGATCTGCGATATTTTATCACTGTTAATGATGAAAAGGGAATGTTTACCACCAAGCTGAAATACACTGTTAAACAAGAGCAAGAAACGAAAAAGTACACTGTGTCTGTAAGTATGAAGCTTTGATCCCCTAATTTTGTATCAATGTCCTGAAATAGTGGAAGTCTCTCGACCTACAAAAGTGTTGTGGGTTTATGAAAAAGAAATGATCTTAGGTGAAACACCCAGACATATATTTTCATTTCATCTTGACAGAGATTTTGCAAGATTTGGCTCGTAGCCCTGTAAAAGCACAAACACTTTCCAGGACTCTGCTTGAAGTCTAAACTGCTTGTGACTTTGCTATAGGGGGCGCGTGGGGAGGGACACCCTCCTTGAAAAATAGTTTCATTAGAAAAACGAGGAGTTGTTTGCCATCTAGGGGTACTTCGTCGTCAAATTTCCAATCTTTTCGGCAAATACAGGATGGCGCACCCACTTTTTTGGCAAATCGAGCACAAAAGGTAGCGACGGGCCTGTCACTTTGAGAGAATGTGGGTTTACTTACTTATGCTTCCTTACAACTATTTGATACTGAAGCTGTTAAATTTAAATTAACTTTATGCAGACGCACTCATGTAGAACGTAGTAATAATTTTTTACTATCAAATTAGATAAAGGCACACACGAGCGCTGGATTTTCCAAAGAAGAAGTTATCTTATTTGAAATTAAAGGAAAAGGAAAGTATTAGCCAGTGAAAATCAAAATTTTTATCATTAAATAGTTATATTTTTTAATTCTCCTCATATTACATTACCGTTGCATATGAAACGTAAACTTAAATCAAACCTTATTGTTAACCAAGGAGGTAATGATAGGCCAACCTTATTGCTATTCTAACACAATGTTCTTGGTACTGTTACTTGCTTTTATTTTTCATAAAATCTGCTGATATCTTATCATTTTACCTATGGGCCATTAAGCAAGCAATGCCTAATTGTCAGCCTAGCACAATATTCTTTGTACTGTTTTTTTACTCTTAAATGATATCTTCTTATTTTATTGGCCATTCAGCAAGTAAGTTCTGTTGAATAAAAGGCTCCTTATAGTCACTTTGAGTGATGTATGAATTACATATTGAATTCTATTTACAGGTATTTCACTGACTTTGGTCATTGCTGTCGTAGTCACATTGTTTGTCTTACTGTTGATTGCTGGCGCTTTCGTTGTATATTTCTATCGAAGGTACGTCGTTTCTGCTATGTTAGCTTTAATATTTGCAAAAAAATTTTCATTCCCGTTCTCGTTATAATGGCTCAGCTCATTTTACCAAAACCATCAACAAAACTGCCCCTCAAAGAGAACAGCCTCCTCGATCTTGTAGGTCTAGAGACACTGTTAAAACAAGGTCAGACGAAAAAGCTTTCAGTGTGTCGTAAAATGTTTGCTTTTCTCAAAGCCATTTTCAAATTCTGTACCACAAAAAAACGGTTCAAAACAATCATGCAATTACCATAATTGCTTCTTTTTTAGCACCTTTTGTTCCATTTTTTCAAATATTGTTTTGCAGAAATCTGGTACCCCGTCCGGAAGTTATTCCATTTGCGTCACTTTTGCCCCTTTGCCCCTTTTCCCCCAAGTGACTCTTTGAAATTTCACCCTACTCCTTTAGGCTATGCGTATAGATTTATTGGTTTTTGAATTACTCACAGGCACGTAGATGCACGAGGGTGTGGGGGAGGGAGTGTCGCAGCAGGGATATCAGAGAAATAAGAAACTCTCAGCCGTACTTACAATGCTTATTTCCGTCCAAGAATAATTCACATAACGCTATAGCCAAGAGATTCTCAATTCAGAAAGTTAATTACAGAATCATATAGTGTTTAGGTTCTGTAAGAAAAATGTAAGTGCAAAATTACGATTGGCTTGTTGTCAGTCAGAAATCTAGCACCTTTACACCCCCCCCCCAACCCTCCCCACCCCACCTCCCCCTCCTCAACTAGAATATCCGTCAATTGAGTTCCTTGATCATTAGCTGTCATTTTTATTATTCAATAATATTTGTATCTTTGTCAATAAACAGTCTTATTTTTTCCTACTTATCAAGGCGACATCCAAAGCATCTTCAACCTGTTCGACTTGAAAACGGGGAAGGTTCGTGGCTGTTAAAGATTTCTTAGAAATTTTCACTGTACCCAGTTATTCTTTCCGTATATGGCGAATTTGTTGATTCATTTTCAGTCGTCCATTTCCGAGCCATAGCATCTTCGATCACTGTTGGTAATTTACTTCCATAACAGTTATTACTTCCCATAAATGTTTCTCTAAATCATTACATTCTGACTGCTATTTTCAGCCAATTACGATTTCAATTATTGTAGACTCAGGCAGGCAAACTCGACCTGGAACTTTTAAGTATTACCGAACCTGTCATCAATTTTTTTTACCGGCCATCAATTTTCTCTAGAACTAGCACCGATAGGTTGAGTCATCATCATCATCATGATCATTATAATTAGCAACCTTTTTCGATGTTAGCTAGACAGTAGTTATGCAAATAATTTACGCTAAGATGAAGCATCTAAGAGATTGCATCATGGACAGAACTGACTCATGTTAGTACATGCTGTGAAGCAGCATTTTTTGCCAGAAAACCAACTTCCACTTTTAAAGTGAATTCGAGATCTTTGGGCCTAAGTAACTGAGCTACTAAATACCATGACTGGTAGTTCACATCTGGAATTCAAATTTATTGTTCATACATAGGTTTTTGCATGTGCTTTTCTGGAAAAAAATATCTTTCATAAATACTGTGTTTATTTAAATTATGTAAAGTTCGACCTGGTCCTAAGTTTCTCTTACATTGTTTAGTGATTCTCCCAAGTGGAAAAGGCGTTCAGGTTTATATTGATCCGACGACATATCAAGATTTGGAGGACGCTGTGCAGCAGTTTGCTAACGAATTAGACCGAAGCTGGATTAAGCTAGATCGTCTGATTGGTGGAGGTGAGTTGGTTTAAAGTTAGGTTAAAAGCATGGTTCTTCTGATAGTTTAAAAATCTTAAAACGTTTTATCTTGGTGGCAGATTCTTACAACTGCTATTTGCATTCGCGAATCTAACTACGGTTTGTTTCAATGATTAAGCACCTCAATGGTTTAGCGTTTCAATTTCCAATTTTTAACGATTCAAACAAAAACTGTTCAGGTGAAAGACAAATGCCATAGGTGCAAGCCTATTCTGCAATTCGGTCTGTTATCTCCCCAAATTACTGCTGTTATCTTCCTCTTCTTTGATTCATCACAAATAATTTCCCACTATTATTTTCACATATGAGATGACACCGTCTTCTGTTGAAGATACCACTGCTGCTCATCTTTAAGCAAACGGGGGCTCACCCTGTAGACACTTGATAGAGTTTTCCGCTTTGTGTTCTGACTAAATCTTATAGTTTTTCAAAAATAAAACCATTTTATGGTACTAACTTAAAAAACGTCTTCGGTAAGCTGTGATGAATTTATTGTATTAAATATTAGATTTTCACAAGGTTTTAGGGCTGAAACTAGATGTCAGGCCCTGGCAAGCCATTTTCTTGGTTTGTAGGCTAATTTCCGTTGCTGTATACTGAAATGCGAATCAAAAAGGAATTGTCGAATTTTATGAATATTCTGTAATTAAAAATGATTCATAGGTGAATTTGGTGATGTGTACAAAGGAACTATGGAAAAACCTTCCGAAAAAGCACAAATTGTCGCCGTCAAGACACTCAAGGTATAAGTTTGTGATCTTTCGTTGACAAGTAGGACAAACAAGTAGGACATCAAATCATTTTCAATGTAGGTTCTAAATACTCTTACACTCCCCTTTCCAAAGTATTCGAGTTGTTGGGTAAAATTGGTGGCCTAGCCCTTACTTACGACAGTTAAGAAAAAAATAATAATCAATTTTTGGCGGGAAAATCAAGTAATTGCGTCAGGAAACTGACGAAATAAGCAACCAGGCAAGTTATAATATTTTGTTCTGGGAAACTTTACTGTGAAAATTATTTTTAAAAGCTGAAATTATTATTTTTTATGGGCAATGGAAAAAAACGCGAAATATGAACGAAGCAGAGCGAATTGTCATAGTGTTTTTACCCCAGACAGGTCTTTAATACGATGAAGTTTCAAAGCAAGTGGGCTGCACAAACTATGCTGTCAACGATATTTGTAAGGTATATGCAAAAACCGTTAACTGGACAGAAAATGTGAATTAGCAAGTCAACAAAATTTCTGAGAGGACGCCGCAAATTAACCTCCATCCTCCAAGAAAACCCTCCCGAATGTGTAAGAAAATTCATAGGTCAATTTTTTTAGAAAAAGCAGCTGTCTTTCTGGGTGTTTTTATTAGCAAAAACTTACGTTATTGCTTTCTACCTTTTTGTAGTCAAATGCAAATAAGAAAGCAAGAGATGACTTTTTGGGAGAAGCAATGTATATGGGACAATTTGATGACCCAAATGTCATAAATCTCGAGGGTGTGGTCGTTAAAGGTATATCAATTTATTTGCTTTGAAGGCATATCTTTTACGGAGTTTCTGATAGATTTGCAGATTGCTTTGTTTGTGAGTATGCATGCTGTCGTTCCGGAACACATATATTACGTCGTCTCCCAGTTTGTCTGCCAATGCTTACAAATTTTTCTCTCTTCTTTCTAGACCGTCCCATATTGATTGTCATCGAATTCATGAGCAATGGATCGCTTGACTCCTTTCTACAAGTATGCTAAATTTCAATTTACTTCTTCAAATTGTTGCAAAAACTAGTTATTGAGTATGTAGTTAAACTAATTTGTAGATTGAAATGTCAATTATTGACCGACAACCATTCACTAACAACTATCATCGCTTCATTTTTTATTTGTTTTACATTTTTTCTAAGAATACATGCATAGCGAAGATTTAGGCATCTGAAGAAGCATTGCATGCCGGGTCGAAATGTTAGTCAATTTTAACTTTGTATGAAATATGTTCGTCCTATCTTTCACTACTCTATGTCTTTTGTGGCTAATTGAGTCTCTCAATCTGATGAAATGTAACAGAACCTTCTATATTTCCGCAGGAAAACGATGGTAAATTTACTCCACTCCAGTTACTAGGAATGGCCCGGGGTGTGGCGTCTGGAATGAAGTATCTTTCTGAAATGAGCTACATCCACAGGGTAGGTGTTGGCTACATCCACAGGGTATCTTCAATCGAAAGCGTCGTGAAAGATAACCGTGTACTGCCTTTTAAAAATTGAGATTCAATCAGCAAAATTTTCTCTCATATATTATTGCAGAAATAAATTGTGTAGTATGGGATGGTTATGTTCAAAGTAATTTTGCCCACAGCTGGTTAATAGACTGCGACCTTCAGCCATTTCATGTCCCCTGAGTTTATTTAGCAGGTTATCCGCTGTTATTTATCATAGCAGGACTTAATAAATGTTTTGCTTTAGCTCAATTTTTCATTGTGTGTATGTTGTTTGCCTAAGGCTGAGATTGAGCCTAGAGCGTTTAGAGATGACTGGAATGCGCTCTTGAATGCATGTAAGGAGTTCAGATTGGTTCTTTTACTAAAAAATGCAAGTAGACTATTAAGAGTTGATAACTGGCAAATGTGATATAATTTTAGCAATTGCAATGGAATAGCAAATACAGCTGCGTTTAACTTTATCATGTATTCATCTGGAAAAAATTTCTTTTTCAACAATGGCATTTTTTAAATTTGGATAGTGAGAGCATAATAGCAGTCCTTAAGTATTGCCCTGTTAAAATACTTGAGTCTTAATTCAACTTATGTTATTATTTCAGGATTTGGCAGCCAGGAATATTTTAGTAAATGATGACATGGTTTGCAAGGTTGCTGATTTTGGAATGAGCAGAGAATTGAGCGAGGAAGATACATATAACACAACCGTAATTAAATGCTTCATTAACCCTTAAAAATCAAGATAATATTTATCCTATTAACAGACGACATACAAATGTCTTTGAATCACACTTAATTTATATCAGGTCACCTTATCATATTTGCTGCTTCTTCAAAAGATGTCATACTGGAGAAGTGCAATCATTTGTGGGTCTATGTATATTTTAATCTCGTACATGTTTTGAGATTTATTACATATCAAACTCAAAGTATGTTTCTGAGCATATATTTATTGAAGAAAAGTTTCCTCTCTTTTATCAATCACTATTTAACTTTTGTGGCAGACACATAACAGAATTGAAATTTTTCAGGATGCTACTAAATGTGAAATTGGACTTAATATGTTGGCCAGTAAGAAGAGACGTAAAAATTTTACCTCTAAGCAATTGGCCATTTTTAGTTGGGCGACATCTATGCATGGTTGTTGTTGTCAGGTTCGATTAACCATGTGACTCATCGTTGCAACTGAATCTACTTTGCTACCATTCATTGTAAACCTTTTTTGTCTAAAAAATATTTCACTTTAAGTCCAAGCTTGTAGACGAGATCCTTTATGATATGTTTTAACTTAATTTTTTACAGGGTGGCAAGATCCCTGTTCGATGGACAGCACCGGAAGCAATCCAGTTTAAGAAATTCACCATTGCCTCGGATGTTTGGAGTTATGGTATCCTGCTTTGGGAGATAATGTCATACGGAGAAAGGCCATATTGGGACTGGGGCAATTATGAGGTATAATCACGTTTCTTTCTAATATTCACCAATAGGGAAATATTTTTATTTCCTATCCATCTATCTCCCGCCTGGGCAATGGTTTTTACAAAAGTTGGTAAATTGCGATTTCAAATCAGTACTCTACACCTGAAGAAAAAGTCAGGGCTATTTCGTTAACTCGTTATTCCGAAAATGATTGCTTAACCCTTGTTATTTTATCAAGAAGTTATCTCATGGTTGAGATCTATAGATTTTTTTTCTAAATAAGGGGGGGGGTATGAAGGGGTATTATCTCTGTTTGTTTGTGAAATTCACAACCATTACCTTGCTTCCCAAAACTTAAAAGATGCTAATTCTACAAGATTTAGAGTCATTTGACTTACCTGCGGCATCTACTATTCCTTGAAACATGATCTGGGCCAAATATTGTTGCAAGGTTGAATACATGAGAATATTTAGTAGGGCATTATTTTCCAATTTTCAAAGGTTTTGGCAACCATCTTCAACAATTCAACAATAATAAATGAATATTTGTGAATTCAAATAAGGAGAGGACAAGTACGAAAGGTTTGTCCAATTCTCTACGGAATATTTTAGCAAGTAAACAGAGGTAAATCAAGCTGTTGGAAACAAACATATAGTTACACAGGATACTTTAGGAAACAACGCCTAAAAAGGGAGAATATTTGTCTCTTACATACGGGTCTTCATCTTCTTCAACTGTTTTGTGGCTGTTGGTGCATTCTCTTCTGAGCTGACGCACGTAGCAATCAATTTAAGCCTTGGTTCTTTTTTAGGTGCTTGAACGTCTGGCTTCTGGCTACAGACTTCCTCCACCAATGGTATGTTTTAGGTTTAAAAGTCTCTAGGTTTTGTAGATTTTAACTACATGCTTTTCTTAGATCAATTACACAAGATATGACAAATATGCCATGCTCTTTTCATATCGAGGCTACACCTAGCTTAAACATTGTCTGTTCCTGTGTTCCTGGTTTTTCTTGTTGCTTATATTTGTGAGCTTTATTTGCTATAAATCTTAAAATCTATATTGGGGTACTAAAATACCCATAGACTCCCTTGCATCAGCATTTTTGATCTAAAGATTTTCCGACAACGGCGAAATCTGCGGGCCTACTGATGGCCTACTATTCTACAGACGTTTTTCTTCTTCTATTGCAGAGGGGTATTTTTGGCGCACTCTGTTACTCTTAGTTACTCTTAGGTGCAATTGCTATCATGTGTCTTTCAGATTCCCAATGCCCTAGTTTCATATTTTCTGATCATGTGCATAAAGTACCATTTGTTATCCAAGTCATAGATATTAAATAGATACCCCATTCTGCGTTCACTGGTAATGATATGTTTGCAAATGCAACTCTACCTTTAGATGCGTCTCGTTTGCATATATTACAGTCCTGTGTATTCTAATTCTACGCAGTGTTTGATTCGGTCAAGTTTGCTTGATCACAGTACAATACGCTAGCTTGCTTCACGAAGCCCCTTTTTCTTCTCACTGTTTGTAACCTTTGAAATGCTTTTCTCTCTTCTTACCTAACCAAAAAATTAATGTTCACTGTTTCTGTGTTTATCAACGCAACTTTTGCTGTTTCTTATCTAAGTCTTAAAAGCAGCTGTTTACGATTGACAATCTCTTGCAGAGCTGCCCTAAAGTTGTGCACGATCTTATGTTATCTTGCTGGCACAAAGATCGCGTTAAAAGACCAAAATTTAAGGACATTCGTTGCACGTTTGATAAGTGGATCCGGAGTCCGGAGTTGCTGAAACACGAGGAATCGGTTGTGACAAGGCGGTATGTTGCAATTAATATCCTTTCAATATACAAGAAAACTATGAAAACAGTCTTTTGGTGGTACAAAACTTGTAATTGGCTTTGAAAAAAGGAAACATTTAGTAAACTAAAGCTTTTCGTCAGACACTCTTCAGAGTTTAAAACGTCAGATCATAGATCGAAAACTCTACGCTAAGAAATATATATACCCAGTTATGGATCGAAGTAGGCCAATCAGAAACACTTACTAGATTGGACGCTACAGTACCTTTTTTCTCTGAAGAGGAGAGAGAGTCCCAGTGACAGCCATATTCATACCGGAATACACTTAAAACGCTTTGTTAGCTTCGAATAAAGTTGTGTTGCCCGCGAAGTACTTCATAAACAAGGGTATCATGCATATTTAGTCGCACATTTAATCCTCTGGGATTCCCTTTCCTGGAATTTTCTACGTGGAGGTCTTTAATGTAGTAGCAGAGGAAGAAGCCGGAAGGGGGGGGGGGTTGGGTTCTGGGGCATATACCTACCCATTTTTCAGAAACAGTGGTTAAGCTCTTATTTGTATCTCTCGAATGGGTCCCGTTTTCGCTGACCTGTGTCCCTTCCCCACTTCGAAAAGCGCCCTATATCTTTATACGAGTTACCAAATGCTAGAATAAATGTATTTGATGTCCAAAAGCGCTTTGAACTTCCTACCTAAAATAGGTTGATATTAGGGTCTAATTTGTGTGTCAATTACAATCTTTCTTAGGAATATAAAGAAGGCTGCCTTCATACTCTATCTATTACTTCTCCTTGTTTATCTATCATAGTGACACTAATTTGGATTACGCGTCAATGAAGACCTTAAAAGAATGGCTTGATTCGATTGGGATGTCGCGATACATCGAGAACTTCACTGAAAAGGGCCTAGTCACACCCCGCCAGATCTTAGAGCTCACGGATCCAGATCTGAAAGATATAGGAATTGAAGCTGTTGGCCACCGAAACAAAATTATGAAGAACATAAATTTGACGAAAGGCCAGTTGATTAGAACAAAATCCATGGCAATCTAAGCGCTGTGAGGCAAGTTGCTTTTATTAGAAATTACATCGAAAACTTCATTACATCACTCTAATGTCTATGACAGTAGTTTGTCATGATGTCATAATAAGTATTTGACCAATTTTCAAGGACTATTTAGTTCGACTTGTTTATGTATTGCCCTTGATTGTAAAGATGCATTTCTACGAAAGACATTTTTGATGTGACGTTTTATATTAGAAGTATTGAATTTTTTGGAGAACGTAAGTAGAGCATTCTGCACCATAGAAGACATTCCAAGTTATCTTGTAAGCTGTTGTTGTGGTTTTCTTCCATAAGTTGTTGTGCATAGGTTGATTGTTTTATTTAAAGGCATTGAGTCATGATAATATAGATTGGGTATACCCAAAGTGCCAAAATCCGCTGAGTCACGATTTTTATGACGGCGATGCTGTTGGTTGACCTTAAACTGGTCACATGAACTCACCTCGTACTGATTAACAAAACCGTTTCCACCAATAGCAAGTTGTCATTAACGGATGCCAATATCACATGAAACAGCAGCGATCACGCCGAAACCAAATGAACCCCTATAGAGAAGGCCTATTTGCCATGACTCAATGCCTTTAAATTTCCTGTGACATGATTTTTTTTATTCTTTTAATTGAAGCGTTGCACTGCTCTTATAGTAGATCTGAACTTTTTTTTGAAATAAAAGCGTTTTGATATTGAAATTAAGCAAAATAGTGCGGCCTAGCCAAGTCGCTTTATCATCATTCGCCGTTCTCTTGTGACGTCATGGGAGGAACTCGTTATTGTAACAATGTAAGCACTACCTTCAAAAATCTCATCCTCGCTGCCACTACTTTCTCTGTAATTATCGCTCATCTTGGACCTGTTAGATTTCCCACATTGACTACGATACAAAAACTCGAAGGATGAGGCGATCGGGTCCCTCCCGTGACGTCACTGTCTACTCATTCTGAAAACCAAGATGGCGAATTTTGGCGAAGAAGATCGCCAATAACTCCTTCATTTCTCATGAAACGTAAAAACTAACCTCAGAAATGAAAATAACAGGCCTTTTTACATAAGAATAGATATATAAACCCAAAAGTACGAAAACCATGTCACAGGCAATTTAACAAGAAGGTACTTAACCGTATTGATTAGAAGTCCTTATTCAAGGTCACCTTGCGGCGGCATACAGTGAAATGTGACTGTTTTTATTATTTCATATAATATAAGTGAGTCATCTGCTTATTTAAGCTGTGATACAGCTCCAACCTTCTTGGTTAAAGACTTTCTGAAACTATTTAGACACGTATTCTTGTTCATGTCGCTCATTGTGTGGTCTTCATTTTCAAGGTTCAGTCCTTTTGTCCTGTGTGTAAGTATCAAGGGACATACAACCCTACGCTTTTAAGACCTTTCTCACTGTATAAAAACACTCGATAGTAGCCAAGAGCAATGGCATCTCTCTCTCCTCCTGCCAACATAAACAGACACTTATTGGATATAGCACAACTCACATTAATAGCTGAATTGTCTTTCCAAAAGTAGTATCAAAATTCTTGCGATCTGTATGTACAGTGTATTTTTTAAATTAATTTTCTTATTGCAGTTAAGATTAGAGTTTCCGTAAGGAAGATTCATTTTTAGTCACCGAATAGTAACAGTTATCGATCTTAGCAAAAAAGGCTTCTAGGTTTAATGTCTAAATATTTTAAAATCACGAAATCTTTTATGAAATGAGAGGTAAAAGATGTTGGCGTTGCCTTGCTCAAGAATCGATAAAACGAAATGTAGAAATCAGTTGCATCTTATTATTATAAAGAACCTACAAAAGCATTTTCGCGTAGAACCTTCTAATTTTGAAGCCTTAGCATTTGCCACTAAATATGTGCATAGTTGCATTCTGGTATAACTTAGATGGTTTTGAAACAGTGATGAATAAATGCCCAAGTGCATGAGGTATGAATTTAGGAGTTTTTATATCCGTTACTTTTTGACATGAAGCTATTTTGTTTATTAAGATATTCCTAATTTAATCTTTCTTGTGAATATCTTTTACTAGTCGAAACCATTTTTTAAACCGTATATAATGATAATTAGCGATAACTAACTATTTGATAACGAAGTCACGCTGAATATTTCTTGAATGTCCGAGAGAAAATAGTCGTTATTTGTGAATAAGTGTCGTACGGTAAAATTTGAACTCATGCTGTATCCAGCCTGGCAGAGCAGAATAATGAGGGTTTCCTAAACCTGGTAGATCTGAAGTCCGCGATTTTACCGATACATAGGTCTTGGAGATGCTACTTAAAGCGTGCTTGATGTAGTGGTGTCTAGATATCCTATTTCGTTGACTTATTTGTCAAACTTTCAAACTTCGTTGCCTCACTTTACAAACCCACTCTCACATTAAAGGCCTACATCTAAACTGTTCGCATTGACGTCATATCATCTTTTTTCCTGTTCTTATACATTTTTATGTATATGTTTAAGGCTAAAACAGTATATCTTAGAATTACCACCATAAGTAACAAAGTTTTGATATTTTCATTTTTCCGAACCATCAAAATTTTCTCATCAAATTAAGCTCTTAAAATAATTAGTATCTGTAATAGTTTTTAAGTAATTAAATAGTATTTAAATAGTAATTAAAATAATTTTGTTCATAGAAAGTTTTTTCCATAAGAAATATCTCTTCTTTGAGTGACCCAATTTTGAAAAAAGTAGAATTACAGGTTTTCCAAAGTTGTAAATTTTTCCAGTGATTTTTTAGCTAAAAATCAAACTCATTGTCTTAACAGAACTTAACTATGTATCCAGCCTTGTTATTTAATCTTGTTTTCCTAATAAAATTTTCCTGTTTCAGTGACTCTTTTTCCACAAGAAAAAAACGTATAGGCCTCCAAAAATAATCAATTTTTGACAGAAATTCCCCATATATAAACATTTGCCAGGTTTTGGTTTTGTACCTTGGCCATGGAACGTAGTTTTTTCTTTTATGTTTTAATGTTATTCCCTTTTTTTCTGTCTAGATTTTCACAAAAAAGTAGATTATAGACTTGCTAAAAGCATTTATTATTCACAGAAGTTTTCCAGCTCAAAGCAGCACAACTTCTCGTGTAATAAATACCTAACAGTTTTTCACAATGTATCCTACTCACGGAAGCTAGTTTTCCAAAAAATTGCCTTTGTTTACATCCCCCAATTTGACAAAAAAAGTAAAGCTACAGGCTTGCCAAAATCGTCGAATTTTGACAATCTCTTTTCCCTTCAAAGCAACCAATAAATGGTTGAGACTTTTCAAGGAAAGCTTATATTCTCACTTTTCCCCTCCCCCAATTCAATGTTGATAGCATGATTGTGAAGCAAAAATTAAAGAACTATAAATCCAACATTGCTTCGGGGGAAAAGGGGGATTCGAATATACAGGGGCAAGGTAAAGTAAACAATTACGAAAATTGCATTTTGTCTCAACATTTTTGTCCGGGATTGTAGGTCTATGGCTATGCA